CCTGCTTGTGTTCCCTCTCTCGCTGTGTCTCTCTCTGTCAAATAAATAAATAAAATCTTTAAAAAAAAAAAAAGAACATAAGTGCCTTTTAAACCTAAATATTGTTTGGCGTCTCTAGTTTGGTCTTCCCTTGATTTGTTTAAAATATCATAAACTTTACTTATTTGTATTTATTGTGGCTTCCACGTATCGGGCACTGTTCTCGGCTTGGGATATAAACACAGAGAAGGGTTCGTGCCTTTGTGGTCCTTGCAGTCTGCTCAGGAGATGGACGTCAGTGAGCTCAGGGCAGAGGCGGGGACGCGGCATCGTTGGACATTCTGATCAGAAGGCTGCTCCAGCTGCCGGCCTGTCTTCACGGCACACGATGGGCCCTCCTTAGAGCCTGTGTTTCCCATGCCCTGCTCTGTCTTTGAAGGATGAATGGGTGCCATGGTAGGACAGATATTGTTAGACACAGACCTCAATTATGTTTTCATTGTTCGTACTTTTTATGAAGGGCGAAAGGTTCAATTTAATAAATGCTTTTTGTGCGTGGGTGTGATTTTACTATCCTCTTCTCCTTTAGTTTGGATGCTGCGAAGCTCTGTGTCTCCTTTCAACCACCTTTCCCGTCTGCATTTGGAGTTTAGGTTGGCATTGTGGGTATGTATTTTTCTCAGCATATGGTTATCTACACTCATGTGATACAGACATTGCTATTGGAATCCTCTGTTTTCTTTCTTAAATCTTTTCTCAGTGTGACCTTTTGGACACGTACCCAAAGGAATCCTTGCTTCTGCCCTGTTAGCTGTGTGGGAAATTAGTGATAGAGCTCTCGGAAAATCTGGATTCGCTGTGATTCTCATGGGTGTCAAATGCTCACTCTTAAGTGCTTTGGAGGATTTCAGGGTGTCATTTGTAGATTCATTTTGGACAATTCACATATGTTGGCAGGATGTTTCTAATTGGCTTGATTCTCTCCAAATGGCTACACTATGTACTAGAAATTTAGAAACATTTTTTGTTTGAAATCAGATGTGACCTGTCGTGTAAAATCATGATGAGCTAAAGGAATTGGCAAGCTTATATGATCAGTTTCCATTTAAAAATGAGTTTCTTGGGCGCCTGGGTGGCTCAGTTGGTTAAGCGACTGCCTTCGGCTCAGGTCATGATCCTGGAGTCCTGGGATCGAGTCCCGCATCGGGCTCCCTGCTCGGCGGGGAGTCTGCTTCTCTCTCTCCCACTCCCTGTTTGTGTTCCCTCTCTCGCTGTGTCTTTCTCTGTCAAATAAATAAATAAATAAATAAATAAATAAATAAAAAAAAATGAGTTTCTTCCGCTAGATGGCCCGAATAGCATCTGTGAAATAATTTCGAATCTCCTACAGCACTAAGGAGTAAGCTTTTATTATGTGTACCGATTACTGAGAGACATTTTGGTGACTCGCCATCATATTTGGAAACAAATCTGCAGATTTCTTGTGTGTCAGCATATGGCCAGCTAACATTTGCTTGGAGTGGATGGATTGCTGGTCTAGAGTGGTTGCTTCCTTTTGCCCACAGGTAGTTATCGAGCAACCTCAGTTTCTGGTCAGAGATCCAGTACCTGACCTGACTAAGCAACTGTGGCATTGGAGTAAAATAATGCTAAGGCAAAATTCAGAGAAAGCTAAAAAGTTATAAAAAAAGAGTTTCAATAGTTTTTTTTTTAATTATTATTATTATTTTATTTTATTTTTTTAAGATTTTATTTATTTATTTGAGAGAGCGAGAATGAGAGAGAGTACATGAGACGGGGGAGGTTCAGAGGGAGAAGCAGGCTCCCCGCTGAGCAGGGAGCCCGATGCGGAACTCGATCCCGGGACTCCAAGATCATGACCTGAGCTGAAGGCAGACGTTTAACCAACTGAGCCACCCAGGCGCCCAATTATTTTTTTTTTAAGATTTTATTTATTTATTTGTCAGAGAGAGAGAGCGCACAAGCAGGGGGAGCAGCAGAGGGAGAGGGACAAGCAGGCTCCCCACTGAGCAGGGAGCCCGACGTGGGGCTGGAACCCAGGACCCTGGGATCATGACCTGAGCTGAAGGCAGACGTTTAACCATCTGAGCCACACAGGCGTCCCCAGTTTCAATAGTTTTAATCAGATCTGCTACCTGGTTTCCTTTCTCAATGATATTTATGGAGCTGTGGCTTACTGGAAGGATGGCAGTTAACAATAGTAAAACCACTTGATGAGCTGGTATAAAACGTGGTGACATGCCTTCTTCCTGGTTCCTTAGAGAAGGCAGGACTGTTTGATTTAAAGTTTTTGTCGTTTGACCTGGCACACGTCTCCTTCCAGGGTGCCCCCACTGAGCACTTCCGATGAATCGAGAAAGAGCTGTACTGTTGGCATGGCCACAATGATCCTCACCTTGCTCTCATCAGCTTGGTTCCCGCTGGATCTCTCAGCCCATCAGGATGCTTTGGTTTTAGCCGGAAACTTGCTTGCAGGTATTGGTACTGAGCTGAAACAGGGACTTCAGGTCTATAGCTTTTGTTTCCTTCTAGGGAGTGGGGTGGTGAGCACATGGAGGGAAATTACTCCAGTGATGGTTTGATCCTGTAGTCAGAGCGTCCCATGTGACCAGCGTGGGTGTGTGCTGTGGGCAGCTGTTCTGAGCCGAGTAGTTTAAAGGAGCCCCTTCCCTGTGCAGTCCCTTAGTTGGCTACGGGTAAACACATTTCTAATTTCGTTTTAGCAGGCACCATGGCTGTAAGAAAGCATGGTATTTGGGCTCTGTTCTCAAGTCAGCCGTGGATTCAGTGAGTGACACACCATAGTACGGTGGCAGTGCCAAGGAGCCATAGTCACTGTGCTGTGGGGGACCAGGACAGGAAACAGGTTTCATGGGCTGGCAGGAAAGGGCACACCAGACGGAGGGCATAGCCTGTTTGAAGTCAGGGAGACATGAAAAATTGTGTGACGTGTGAGGACTGTAAGTAGTTTGGGATGTCAGGTGAGGACGAGGATGGAGGATGTGGCGGGTGAAGAAGGAGGCTGCTGAACTTGAGGGGTGTGGGGTGCTACCTCGTTAAGGAGGACTGTGGTGTTTGCTGTGGGAGGTCATGGAAGAGCCTCATGGAGGGACTAGCTGTGGGACAGAGTCCCCCCACGGGCTTGAGTGTGGCTTGGAGAACAAGGTAGGGAAGCCCACTTGGGAGGTTCATGTTGCAGTCGAGGCGAGAGAGAGTCTCAACAAGATCCCGGCTGTGGGCCGTGGGAGAGGACTCTGACTGGAAGAGACTGGAGGGGCAGGAGCAGCAGGCCATGGCCACCAGTGGAACTTCGGTTGTAAAGATCCGGAGGGCCTGGGGTGATTGGCACATCACCAATATATGGGTGGGTGTACGTCCGGTGGTGACATTCATGAAAGTCCATTTCCTGTGGAGTTGGAGGGATCAGTTGACCACCAGGTGGAGATGGCCAGCAAACTCAAAGTAGGCGGGTCTAAATGACTTAGCTTCCCTAGTGATTTTCTCTTTCCCTCATCACAGCCAGTGCCCCCAAATCTCTGAGAAGTTCCTGGACCTCCGAAGAAGAGGCCAACCCAACAGCTGCCAAGCAGGAAGAGGTCTGGCCAGCTCTGGGTGACCGGACCCTGGTGCCCATGGTGGAACAGCTCTTCTCCCACCTGCTGAAGGTGATTAATATCTGTGCTCACGTCTTGGACGATGTGGCTCCGGGACCAGCAATGAAGGTAACTTTAGGCTTGGGCAGCTCAGTGACCCCGTGGCGCCGGACCTGCCTTCGCTCACTTGTCTGCCCCTTCCTTACTCTCTCTTGCTTTAAATGAACAGAATTGCTCATAGGGTGACACTAAGTTTAATACCAAAATGTGTCATCCAATTTGTAGCTCTTTTGGTACCGTTAACTGTCGCCTCTGAGAGGGAAAGAACTAGCTGGATTCTTAGGCTTTAAGCATTAGCTGAGAAAGCTCACAGTTGAAGTTGCTGTCTCCTGGAATGTTCGCAGGTTGTTCTGCTTCTCTATGAAGTACAGGTCCGCGAATGAGCTTCAGGACAAATGGTGATGTGTTTGCACAGTGAATTTAAGATAGATGAGTTCACTTATAATTATATCCAATTATTTGCCCTCCCGTGTTTTCCATCTCAAGTTACTTCCATCATGAAAAAGCTCTTCTAACTTCGCGTTCTCCCTTAGCGGCCATTTGGTCTCCCCATCACTACAAACTTTTCTGAAGAGTCGTGTCTCCCCACTTCACACCCTAGTACCTCCTGCATGCTCTGGCACTGGCCTGGACGCTGTCCGCAGCTCCGGCCACCGATTCTTTTTTTTTTTTTTATGTTAATCACCATACAGTACATCATTAGTTTTTGATGTAGTGTTCCACGATTCATTGTTTGCATATAGCACCCAGTGCTCCATTCAGTACGTGCCCTCTTTAATACCCATCACCGGGCTGACCCATCCCCCCACCCCCCCTCCCCTCTAGAACCCTCAGTTTGTTTTTCAGAGTCCATAGTCTCTCGTGGTTCGTCTCCCCCTCCGATTTCCCCCCCTTCATTCTTCCCCTCCTGCTATCTTCTTCTTCTTTTTTTTTTCTTTTAACATATAATATATTATTTGCTTCAGAGGTACAGATCTGTGGTTCAACAGTCTTACACAATTCACAGCACTCACCATAGCACAAAGCCTCCCCAATGTCCCATCACCCAGCCACCCCATCCCTCCCACCCCCCACTACTCCAGCAACCCTCAATTTGTTTCCTGAGATTAAGAATTCCTCATATTAGTGAGGTCATATGATACATGTCTTTCTCTGATTGACTTATTTTGCTTAGAATAATACCCTTCAGTTCCATCCACGCCGTTGCAAATGGCAAGATTTCATTCCTTTTGATGGCTGCATAATATTCCATTGTGTATATATACCACCTCTTCTTTATCCATTCATCTGTTGATGGTCATCTTGGCTCTTTCCACAGTTTGGCTATTGTGGACATTGCTGCTATAAACATCAGGGTGCACGTACTCCTTCGGATCCCTACATTTGTATCTTTGGGGTAAATACCCAGTAGTGCAATTGCTGGGTCGTATGGTAGCTCTATTTTCAACTTTTTGAGGAACCTCCATACTGTTTTCCAGAGTGGCTGCACCAGCTTGCACTCCCACCAACAGTGTAGGAGGGTTCCCCTTTCTCTGCATCCCCACCAACATCTGTTGTTTCCTGACTTGTTAATTTTAGCCATTCTGACTGGTGTGAGGTGATCCGGCCACCGATTTCTTTAACCCCCGGCTGCTCAGCCTTCGGCTGCCACTCTCCAGAGCCACGCTTCCGCCAAGATCGGTCTTTGCATCTCGTGGGTACCTCTCGGGTCCTGTCTCACTTCTCCTCCACACCCTCGGTGCCGCCACGCTGGTCCTGATGCGGGCGCTCCCACTGGCCTCCGGGTTGTCTCTTGTTCCTCTCTCACCCCTCTGCTCCCGGGCACTTCCTGGTTTCTCCTCTCTGCCCAGCACAGAGGGCCTGCAGGCTCCATCCTAGGTTGGCCTCTCTCTTGATACTCCTGGGCCGGTGCCATTCCGTGCCACTCTGCAGCAATAGGAACATTCTGTGTCTATGCGAGCCGGAACAGTGGCCACTAACCACACGTGGCAAATGAGCACTTGAAACGTGGCCAGTGCAGCTGAGGCGCTGAGCTGCTGATTTTGTTTGTCATTACATTTAAATGGCCATGTGTGGACAGTAGCTCAGGTATGGGGCGGGGCAGTGTGGGGTAGTCCGGTCTGTGCTTGTCTTCAGCGTTCACACGTCAGAGACCCCAGCTCTGTCTTTGGAGTGTCAGTGCAGAGACATGCGATGCATCTACTTGGATGGCTCGCAGATCTCAGCCACGGCGTGGATCCGAGCTGCTCAGCCTCCCCCCTGGCTGTGCCTGCCATGTTCCCATCCCTTTGTCCTTTGTCAGCTAGGAATGTGATGGTCTCATAGCTTCCCACCTTCGCTTGTCAAGTCCTGTGTTTTCCCTACTAAATATCTTGCAAAACCCATGTATGCACATGTACACATGCGTGTACGTGTACGCCCACACATGCAAATACACATGCATGTAGGTGAATACACACACACTTCTGTGCATTTGCTGCCACTGTTCTGGTGCAAACTGGTGGCCCGATGGAGTCTCCCAGCCGCCTCTCTTCCCCTTCTTCTGCTTCAGACAGTGTTGTTCACATCCTCCAACTGCAGCATGGTTCCCGTGCCCTTACAGCTCACCTGTTTGGAGTGTAGGATTCCGTGGGTTTTCATATGCTCACAGTCATGTGGCCATCACCACAACCCATTTAGAGCCTGGAAAGGAACACTGTGCCCTTTAGGTGTCACCCCCAAACCTCCCCTGCCCCCCAGCTCCAGGTGGCCACCAGCTACTTGGTGTTTCTACAGACCTGCCCATCCCGGACATTTCATGGGAAGGAACCGTGCGATCCCTTGTGTCTGGCTCCTCGCACTTGGCAGGAGCTCTGGATGCAGCAGCCCCTGTCCTGGCCTCTCTGTCCTTCCCTACTGCCTTCAGTCCACTCTCCTGAGGCCAGCTGTTTGTCCCGCTCCATCCACTTCTCTGAGACTGGAGAGAGTGCGAGCAGCGCTGGGGCCCGCCGAGCATGTGCCCCCACGCCGGCCCCTCCCACAGCGGGTCCGCTGCCCTGTGTACTGGGTCTGTGGACTCCTGGCTGTGTGGCTCATTAGCCTTGATGTTGAATAAGTTACATCATCTCTGAGCCCGTTTCCTCATTTGCTTCATACCGTTTGTCACGTCCTGGCTCCCACAGAGGGCCCTGGTTGCTTGCTGCTGGGGGCGATGGGCCCTGCCTGACTCCCTGAGGGTCCTTGCGTCCTTGGCCATTCACAGCGCCCCTGTTAGGAAGTTCTAGGTCAATACCTGCCAGTATGATGGCTGTGTGAGTTACACTAGATGATATACGGATCGTGTCTGAGTTCTGTAAACGAGGACTCAAAGAAAAAATGATCGCGGGCGTTGTGCTCAAGAAATGGGAAACCACGTATGTGACTTTCAGTTTCCGCGTCGGTTTGGTGTCCTTCACAGACTCTTCGTTTTGTTGTAGGCAGCCTTGCCATCTCTGACAAACCCTCCTTCTTTAAGTCCCATCCGACGAAAGGGAAAGGAGAAAGAACCCGGAGAGCCGGCCTCTGTGCCCTTGAGCCCCAAGAAAGGCAGTGAAGCCAGTCCAGGTATGAAGCGACGGCGAGGAAGGGCGGGGCTGGGGCGCCGTCTGGATCACAGAGATCCCATTCACGCCCGGGTTAATATAATAGCTTCGTAGTTTTTGGAAATAAAGTACACAGCAGTGAAGCCAGAGAAAGAGTTTCCCTGGTGTGGTTTCAGGTACTAAATATTAATACCTAAATGTGTGCAGACCATGTCCCGGTCTTGAGCGTCACTCCGTGTCCCTGGCTAATACGTGGCCACGGCAGTCCGTGGGCCTCCCCACCCTGCTTCTCCCTGCAGAGGAGAGGTGGAAGGGACCCTGATTTCAGTCAGGGAGGCGGTGTAGATGGCTGGGAACAGCTAGCGGCTGAAGGAGTTGGTTCTGACACATGAAGACGGAAGACGGAAGTGCTAACGTGGGGAACAGTCTTCTGAGAGAGAGGAACCTGACAAACCCGTGTGAGGGGCTTCCACACCTAGGAGGGGCCAGGGTGTGCGTGGGAGCCTGTGGCTTCCACCGACCCAGCTGCCATGGGTGGGCACGGGAGGGTCTAGGCAGGGTGGGAGGCGACCCGTGCTGTCATGCCCCCACCAGACCTGTTGGCGCGTCTCACGGTGCCTCGGGCAGTTGCGACTCTCCCATGAGACTCGACGTTAAGGGTTTGCAAATGGCTTATTTCTGAGGACTGACTGGAGCATTGCAGGAGGCTTTACCGGCTTTGAAATCTTCTGAACTTCACAAATGTAACTTAGCAGTATGTCCCTGATCGTGTTCCTGGTGGCTTAAAGAAACTAAAGGCTCCAAGTAAAAATCTTTAAAATTTGAGGAGAGTAGTTTTATTTAGTGCTTGGCCCTTTCCAGTCTCTCAGCGTGTTGCTGGCGTTCAGGGCCCCTGGGCCACACTGGGCGGGCTCAGCCCACTGTGCCGCTGGGAGCCTCGGGCTCCTGGACGCTGCGCGGGGGCTGGAGGCCACCACCCCCCTGCTCTGATGCGCAAACGGGCAGCCAGACCATGACAGACAATAGCAGTACGCTGTTCTTCTTTCTCACCTTATTCTATGGTTTTTGGGGAGATACTCAGATTCTGTTTATGTTTATTAGTCAACTTCTTGTTCCTTCTAACTAATTAAAAATTCAGAGGGAGAATTTGAATTTTATGCTTTTAGAATGCCTTTAAAAACCGTTATTGCCAGTGATCTCTTAAACTTGGCAAGTGTGTACTTTTGAGCTCAAAGTGTATTTTGTGTGTTTTAAAGCCTCTCGACAATCTGATGCCCCAGGGCCTGTTACAGCAAATAAGTCCTCGTCGCTGGGGAGTTTCTGTCACCTTCCTTCGTACCTCAAATTGCATGACGTCCTGAAAGCTACTCACGCCAACTACAAGGTGCGGCTCCTTTTGTGAAAATATGCACACAGATTTCTAATAGATTGTGGGTGTCTTAAGATTTATAGCTTGTGTACATACATAGATGGGCATACAGATAAGTACATGCAAATCAATAGTTTCTTCAAGTTTGTCTTTCAGCTTTGTTTATGGTAGTTCTCATCATATAAAAATTGGAGCAGCGATCTCTCTGTGGTTTATTGGTGCTGTGTCTGGGCTTCCTGGGCCGCCCCCACAGTCAGAGATGTGCTGGCCGGACTCATGGGCCTCGGCGCGTACGCAGTCTCACAGCTGGGACTTTTACCGCCGTGTGGTAAGGACACACGGGCACAGTCTGCAGGGATCCGGGTGCAGGCTTGCTGTGTTCTGTCTCTCCCACGCTTGTCCTCCAGCCACGGAGGCTTCCTCTGCCTGACCCGAAGCAAAACCCCGGGCTCACAGAGGAATGCAGGTGTGCAGCCTAAAACGTGGGGTTCGTTCACGTAGTCCAGGCACGGGGAGCACTGCTAGTGGTGTAAGGAACTGTTGACTGGCCAAGTGTGCAGACACCCCCGAGGGCCGACCTTACAAACAGGTTTCTGGACGGAGAGCAGTCTGTTCTGTCGACTCTTCTGCACTGGTGTGTTGCGTACTTTGGGCTTTCTCACGCTGAGATGATTAAGGAAAAAAGTCCCATGGTTTCTCTTCGGGCTTTTCATTGGTTAGCTACCTGCCCGATTGCCCCCAGCACTGTCTCCCAAGTAAGCCATTTTTCTTGCACTAATTGATCTGAAATACAACCTTTAGCAGATGCTAAATTCTCATGGGTCTGCATTTCATTTACTGTTTGGTGACGTCAGTCTGTCCATCTGTTCATCTGTTAGAAGCACACATGCCCATTCTGTGGCTCCATGGTACATTTTTTTTTCTTTGAAGATTTTATTTATTTGACAGAGAGACACAGTGAGAGAGGGAACACGAGCAGGGGGTGTGGGAGAGGGAGAAGCAGGCTTCCCGCTGAGCAGGGAGCCAGATGCGGGGCTCGATCCCAGGACCCCGGGATCATGACCTGAGCCGAAGGCAGACGCTTAATGACTGAGCCACCCAGGTGCCCCTCCATGGTACATTTTTGAGGTGGTCAGTTCCCCCATTCTGCTTTAGAATTTTTTCTTGATACTCGTGTATTTTTGCATGTGGACACTAGAATAAGCTAATCTACTTCTAAAGGATCCTGAGAATATTTCCACTGGGATCATGTTAAATTTGTAGATTAATTCCTAGAGAACTGATATCTTGGATGTTAAATACACCTGTCCAGAGTGTGGGATGCTTTTTTCTTTGTTGAAATCTTCTTTTTATTATTATTACTATTATTTTTAAAGATTCTTTTATTTATTTGACAGAGAGAGAGTTAACGAGAGCAGGAACACAAGCAGGGGGAGTGGGAGAGGGAGAAGCAGGCTTCCCGCCGAGCAGGGAGCCCAATGCGGGGCTCGATCCCAGGACACTGGAATCATGACCAGAACCGAAGGCAGACGCTTAACGGCTGAGCCACCCAGGCGCCCCTGTTGAAACCTTCTTGTATGTGCCGCAGATGTACATAAAATTTAAAGAATTTTAAGAAGAATTTTTGAAGATTTTTTCACATAGATCTTGTGTATTTCTTGATAAACAAGTCCCCAGATGGTCATCATTTTTTGTTACTGATAGATATTTCTCAGTTTTTTTGAAAACTATTTATAAACCTTATCTGGCCTCTTTTCTGAAGGATATTGATAATTTTGAAAGATAAGAATCTTAACCATGTTTTTTTTTTGAATCTTAACCATGTTTTACAGCAGATTTGGAGGCTCTTTTTAGCCTGTGTTTCTTATGTCACCCACCCAAATAGCAGGGGGCACATTGGAAACCACGCACAGAGAAGACATTTTTTTCTGCCTATTCTCAACTCCTGTCTCGGGTCCTGGGGCCCTGTTGATGCTCCTGCCATCTGCTCCGTCCTTACCATTTCCCCCCCGGGACATCCTGGGCTTCACGCTGTACCCCGTGCACCGTGGCCCCCCAGGATTCTGGGTGCCCGCCTGGCTGGCGTGTTTGGGGTGCCTGGCACACGTGAGATCCATCACACTGTCTCTCCATCTCCTTCATTCCTCCCCCTGAGTGGCCGTGTGCACGGCCCTCCATTCTAGCTCTGGGGTCAGCTCCCTCCGTGCCCCGTGGCCCTGGTTCTCACCTGTGACCTCTGTTCTTCAAGATAGGCCTTCCTGTGCTCATGCCCCTCGCCCCCTTGTCCTGCCCTGCCTGCTGGAGGTGAGCCCCTTCCCTCCCGTGGCCCCACTCGTCCTTCAGCCTGTTGGAAAGCGCCCCCCCCGGTGACACAGAGCGGCTGAGGCACTCGGGCCTGCCTGGTGGTCATCTTCCGTGTGTGTCTCGCCTGCCGTCCTCTCCCTTGGCCCAGGAAGTGCTTTCTCTTTCATCACGGGTGGCCACGTTTGATTTCACGGAGCAGATTCCTTTCTCTGTTGCAGCGTTTTGCAGGGTTTTTGCCAGTTTTTATTTTCATAGTTGATCTCTCCCTTGTTCTTTCATGTTATGTCTTTGGACCTAACCCCTTCTCTCAGTCCGTTAAATAGGGGAATTGCATAATTTAATTCAGCTGGGCCCTTTAGAATCCTAATTTAATCCTTCTTGACATGAATTTAATGTTTTGCTGTAGCCAGACTGAAAGGCGGTTTCTGGATTTGATGATGATTCCTTGGGGATACTAATGTATGTAGAACAAGTTGTGTATTTTATATTTTTTGATTTGGTGCTTATCAGATGCTGGTTGTAATGGAAATTTACATTTTTTCCCCTCATGATAGAAGCTCAGAAATTATTCCTTTCAGTTGTATCAATGTAAGTTAGAAGATGCTCCTGAGAGATGGCAGTTTTATAAAGCTGTCTTTCCTTTCCAAAGCATTTTCCCAGTGCTCACAGGAAACAAACAGCCCACGCGGTGCGTGTGTAGGGTTGCATAGTGGGACAGCTCTCATCACACAGACAGTGCGTGTCTTTGTTGCAGGTGACGGATGGGACGGTGCACGTAATCCTGTGTTCTTTTCCTCCACCTTCCCAAGGTTACCTTGGATCTTCAGAACAGCACTGAAAAGTTTGGGGGCTTTCTGCGCTCTGCCTTGGATGTCCTCTCTCAGATCCTAGAGCTGGCGACGCTGCAGGACATCGGGAAGGTATGTGTTTCATTCCTTGTCATTGAGCTGTAGCCGGCGCGGGCACCTGTGAGCCTGCAGCCCCACCGTCCAGGCACGTTTTCCGAGGTGCCAGCAGCTTGGGAGACGTCTGCATGTCCCCCGACCCGGGCTGCCCCATCACAGCACCTGACTCTGGTGCTTGTCTTAGCCTCACATCGGGGGTGTTCTACCTCTCTCCTCTTTTCAGTTCTCTTTCTGTATATTAGTTTAGATCCAGTTTATTCTAGAATATGAGTGGGTTTAAACTGTGGTGACAGTCCCTTTGTTTTCTTTTTTCTTTTTTTTAATTTAATTTTTTATTGTTATGTTAATCACCATACATTACATCATTAGTTTTTTGTTTGTTTGTTTTTTGTTTTTTTTTAAAGATTTTATTTATTTATTTGAGAGAGAGAGAATGAGAGAGAGCACATGAGAGGGGGGAGGGCCAGAGGGAGAAGCAGACTCCCTGCCGAGCAGGGAGGCCGATGCGGGACTCGATCCAGGGACTCCAGGATCATGACCTGAGCCGAAGGCAGTCGCTTAACCAACTGAGCCACCCAGGCGCCCACATCATTAGTTTTTGATGTAGTGTTCCATGATTCATTGTTTGTGTATAACACCCAGTGCTCCATGCAGTACATGCCCTCCTTAATACCCATCACCGGGCTAACCCATCCTCCCACCCCCTTCCCCTCTAGAACCCTTAGTTTGTTTCTCAGAGCCCATAGTCTCTCATGGTTCATCTCCCCCTCCGATTTTCTCCCGCTTCATTTTTCCCTTCCTTCTCCTAATGTCCTCCGTGCTATTTCTTATGTTCCACAAATAAGTGAAACCATATGGTAATTGACTTTCTCTGCTTGACTTATTTCACTTAGCATAATCTCCTCCAGTCCCATCCATGTTGATGTAAAAGTTGGGTATTCATCCTTTCTGATAGCTGAGTAATATTCCATTGTATATATGGACTACATCTTCTTGATCCATTCATCTGTTGAAGGGCATCTCGGCTCTTCCACAGTTTGGCTATTGCGGACATTGCTGCTATGAACATTGGGGTGCGTGTGCCCCTTCTTTTCACTACATCTGTGTCTTTGGGGTGAATACCCAGGAGTGCAATTGCTGGGTCATAGGGTAGCTCTATTTTTGTTTTCTTATTTGACCTTCGTAAGCAGAAAGGGTGACAACAGACGTGGTGAGGGTGCATGGCCAGCTCCTTTGGTGCCACGGGAAGCAGCAGAGCTGGGGTAGAAGCCCGTCTGCCCTCCCCATCGTCGTACAAGGAGGAGCTCAGACACACAAGAGTTTAAGGAATTGTGTGGTGAGCGCCCGTCTCAAGTGTCCACACCCCAGGGCCTTGGACGTGTGTGTCCACCTGTCGGCTCCTGGGCATCGTACTTCCTGATGGGCTGCAGAGGAGCTGCAGGTGGCTTCCCCTTTAAACAAGTATCTCTGTCGAGGGAAGTACAGTAGCTCGTGAAGTTCGTTTATTTTTATTTCCCTAAATCTTTCTCTTGGCTCATAAAAGCGTACCTAGTTTTCATGATTACGTGAGGTATTCTATTTCTTTTCAGTTCTTTCTTGTGCTTTTTTTATGTCTGTTTAGTGCGTGCACTTGTTTTTTACCGGCTAGATAGTGTCCTAATTGACGCTCAGTTGTCCCTCAGAGTGAAACTTGTCAGAGCTCTTCCTAATACGGCCTTGCTGGTGAGACCCGTGTCTCTGCGCACAACGGCGCTCTCCCGTAGGGTCATCAGTCCTGGCAACCCATCGCTTTTCCCCTCTCTTACCAGCAGGTCTTGTGGCCTGTGGTCTGTGTGCATGTAACACGTTGTAGCAACGTGGGAAATATAACGCATTTTAAGTGAATGTTAGATATCCTGAAATAAAAACCATCTACGTGGAATTTTTAAAGTAATAAAATTTTCCTTTTTCTTGGAATCCAGATGACTTTGTAGTTTGTTGTTTTTGTATTTTTTTCATTTTCTAGGAGCATGGTTCCTTTTTTCTTTTTGACTGCTACGTATACAGAAATAGTTGTTCTCCAGTGGCAGCCAGTGAATTTATCCACTGGTGCATTTATCCCAATATGTGAAAGTAAATAATGAAGTCAGTCTAATGAAGCTTGATATTAGGGGTCTTGATATTCCTGAAAACAGGGATATGCTTATATTCTTTTTTAAAGGTGTGTGTTTAGTAACTTCATCTCTGAAGATCCTGTATCCGGGGCTGGAGTCACTGGATGTTGCAGCCTCTTGCCTTTGTCTTTACGGTGTTCTGAGTTGATCTGTTTTGCTGTTTGATGACAAAGGCCTGTTTCCGCTGCAGTTTGGGCTTGCCCTTGTCGGTGCTCTGGGAGCCTCTTCTGCTTAACTGCTGAATCTTCGCTCCTGGTCTTTCCGGCGAGAGTGCAGGGTAGAAGCCCCCCAGGATTTTCTTTGCGCTTGGACACTTGCTGTGTGTGCGGGGTCTCCTTGGCTGATCGCTGCGCAGGCAGGCCTGGGACCCCCCTGCCAGACACACTGCCCAGCTGGGTGGAAGCGTGTCCAGGAGCCCAGGTGGCAAGATCAGGGTGTAGACCCACAAACTGCTGCTTGTGATTTTGTGGCGGGCACTCACTGGACGTGCACTGGACACGCGCTGGACACGTGCTGCCTCTGGCACCGGGGGCCTGAGCCCCACACACAGCTTGGGGGAGGGGATGCAACCTGCAAAATGTACCAGCAACTTTTCCTCAGATTTCTGTGAGCTTCTCTGATGATAGCAGGTGAAGGCAAAGAGAGACTTAGAATTAAAAATGGAGTTGTTTTCTTTTGTTTTCCTAAATACACTGGGGTTGAAAAATAATCTTCATTTTAATAATAGTAATAATAATTCAAATAATTCTGATTTTTCCTCTTTTCTAGACCTTGTTTATTCCATGCTCCATTTTTATGTCATTGAAATGTGCTGTTGTTTGGGTGTTGGTGTTTTCTTGGGGCAATCCTTCATGCACATTTTCCATGTAACTCCTTACAGCTCTCCGTGTTATTACTGTGTTTTTTCTGGCTTCTGGACCCTTCACTGGTTTTGAGTGATTTGATTTTGAGTGCCTCGGTGTAACTTTCCTTAGGTTTCTTGTGCTTCGGTTTGTTGAACTGAGATCTCTGGCTTAATAGTTTTCTTAAAGTTTGGGAAATTTGGGGCCATTATTTCTTCAGATATCTTTCCTGGTCCTGCCCACTGCTTTTTCTTCTCTCTTAAGGGGACTCTAATTACCTGCATATTTGGATGCTTGAGGTTGTCCTCTACATGGCCCACTGAGGCTCCTCTCAGTGTTTTTATTGTTTTCTGTCTGCATCGCATTCTGTGGACTTCCACTGCTGTGTCTTCAGGCTTGTGAATCTCATCCACTGCAGCGTCTGAGCTGTCAGCCCCTCTCGCGCACTTTTCATCACCATCGTGGTAGTTGTATCTCTAAAAGTCTGATCTGGGTCTTTTTTTGGATCTTCTTTGTCTCTACTTAAGTTTTTTAGCACATAGAATATACTGTCATAATGACTTTTAATGTCATTCTGCTAATTCTAAAATCCTGTCTGTTCCAGGTCATTTTTGATTGATTGATTATGCTCCTCATTGTGGATCATGTATTGCTGCCTCTTTGCATTCCTGGTCATCTTTGATTGGATGCCAGGCATAGTGAAATGCTGGGTGCTAGGCATTTCTGTGCTCCTGTAAATCTTCTTGAGCTTTATTCTGAGATAGATTTAAATTGTGTGGGAAGTTTACTCTTGGGTCTTGCATTTGCCATGTTAGGTGGGTTGCTCAGTTTGGGGCTATGTTGCCATGATGGAGGCAGGGGACCCTGTGAGTTCCCATTCTCCCCAGTTTGGGGGGAACAGTAACTGTCCTTAGCCCTTTGTGAGTGCCAAGTACTGCCCTGTAACCCTTCCTGGTGATTCTCCCCTGGCCTTGGGGAGGTTTCCCCACACACCATGTTGACCAATGCCCTGCCGACTCCCCGCATCTCCAGAGCCCTCTCGAGGCAGCTGTCTCTGTGGTGGGCTGCCCTGTGGACCCTCGCTGCTTCAGCTTCCCTGGACTTCCAGCTCCTCCTGACTTGGGGTCTCTGGGCTGCGCTGTGCCTCTCTTCCTTGTGCCTCGACCTGGAAAGTCTCCCAGGGCAGTGGACCCCAGTGCAGTGTGGGGCTCGCTGCGTTTGTCCCCGCCCCTCAGGGGTTACTGTCCTTCAGTCCCTGCCGTTTGGCCTCTTGTCACTGCGACTGCACACAGTGCCCGTGCTTCTTTGGTTGTTTGGGTGGAAGGTATAAATGGGGCCCCGTGCCCTGTTTTGCCAGAAGTGGGAGTCTGTATTCCACCACATGTTGGTGCCCATGCTGGGACGTGCTCCTGGGGCTCCGCGTGCTCTTTGAGTTCGCCACGGCCTCCTTCCTCGTCAGTTTTCAGTGCCTCTTGCTGTGTTTGGTGCCACCACGTCCTCCATGCATGTTTGTTAGGAGATCTGGTCCTTTGCTAGACAGATCGTGATCTGGAAGCTCTAGTTGTAGTTCTTCCAGTTAACATTTATTAGATACCAGCTGTGGGCTAGTACAACCCAAAAGCAACGTGTAACAGATTCAGCCCTGCAGAATACAACCTTGAGTGCTCGGAGTCTAATTTGAGTAAGTCAGAATATTAAAAATACATGGTCCTTATATTTGAAACCAACAAAAGTCTGTTGTTTTTTAGTGCAGGAAACTGTCCCACACAGGGAAGTGAGAGGCAGTCTGGTTGGTGTGAATTCCAGCCCCACTGACGGAAGCAGCGGCTGGTGACTGTGTAGGCACCAAGGCGTTGGGCCGTCGGTGCTGAGTGCCTGGCCTGGCGGCATCCTGAGAGTTCATGTCTTCGTCCTTCTCAGTGCCCCAAGAAGACATCGGGTGCCCTTATCTCATTTCTTAGGGTGGTAAAAGTAGTTTGTGAGAGCGGTCATGTGAAGGCCGTCATTTTGGTCATTTCTGCAGATTGCTCTAAGACACCTGTAGGGCGTTTTGTAGTAAATCACACAATGCATGGGCCTTATGTTCAGCTGGACGTCTGCAGGGCTTCTGGCTCTTCTGTACTCTCTGAATTGCTGCCTGGAGCACAGGGACAGTAGGTACTTGGTGAACAGTTTGTTCCTGAGCAGGCGAGCGAGCTAGCGAGCGACGGGAACACACGATAGAGAGGCTGCGGGGAGCTACTTGACCATCCGTGGTTTCTGCTGACTTTGTTCACAGCGATAGACTGCAAGTTTCCTCCAGATTTGACTGACGCTCAGGAGTTACGCAGAAGCTGCCTCAGGTCTCCGATGTCTGTGCAGAGCTCACAGCCGTACGAAGCCACCTGTCAGTCACTTACTTCAATGTCTTGCTACTTATTCTTCCACAGTGTGTTGAGGAGATCCTAGGGTATCTGAAATCCTGTTTCAGTCGGGAACCAGTGATGGCAACTGTTTGCGTTCAGCAGGTAAGAAAGTCCTTTCCTGTCCTGTCCGTTAAAGCCCCAACTCTGGGCGGGAGGGCAGGATGCTACTGGTCACGTGTCCGGCAGCCCCCGTGTCACACGTTGGCTCACTCCGTTATTAGGCAGAGGGGTCCCTTTCCCATTCCCCTGCAAGAGGAGGAGGCCCGTTACTGGAGAGGGCAGCTGGACTCTTGCTGAGAACTGCCGTCTTAGTGTCCCTCCAGGGTTCTGTTCGGAACGCTCAGTCTCGTTGAGAATCACGGTAGTCGAGGCTCCGAGGTCTTCTTTACAACTTACTTTGCCCTTCAGCGCAGCGGTCTCACGGTGTTGATGGCGATTCCCAGCAGGGATTTCGGTCTGAATTTTTGCTAACGTGACTCTGCCTGGGAGACGCTCTGTGTATGGTTCATGCTACGTTAAGTCAGATGCTGATGGCTTCGGTTCTCTCACTCTAGCTGTTGAAGACTCTCTTTGGGACAAACTTGGCCTCCCAGTTTGATGGCTTATCCTCCAACCCCAGCAAGTCTCAAGGCCGAGCGCAGCGTCTGGGCTCCTCCAGTGTGAGGCCAGGCTTGTACCACTACTGCTTCATGGCTCCGTACACCCACTTCACCCAGGCCTTAGCCGACGCCAGCCTGAGGAACATGGTGCAGGCGGAGCAGGACCACGACACTTCAGGGTAACCTCCCAGATGTCCTGCTGGGGTGGTCGTGTCAGGGGGGCATCTCCGGTAGACCCATGACCGAGCGAGCAGTGCAGTTTGTAAAAAGTAAAAAAAAAAAAAGCGAGCCACAGTCTTCTCATACTCTACTGTATCCAAGGAACTTTGGAAAATATGATTGTTACCAAGATGCTGGAGGCATGGCCCTGCCTTCTAAGAAGTGTGGGATCCAGTGAGTAAGGTGGCGTGTGGGGGATCCTGCAGGCTCGGGGCTGGGCAGGCGTGGGGAGGCCGCCGGGGCTGCGGTGCGGGCCGTGCTGGCCTGCTGACCGCAGGCGCCAGGTGGGGGCGGGCACCTCTCAGGTCTGCACTCGGTGAAGGCGCGGCTTCCGCGTGTTACGGGAGTGCCAGCCCCCAAGGTGTCTGAAGGGCACTGAAGAGTCTCCTATGACAGCACTTCACCTTTCCTCACCCTGTGACTCGAAGTCTTCATTTACATTTATGATTGTGTTTTTGATGCCTGGAATATAGTAGTTGTTGCTTAAATGCCCGTAGTTATTAGATACTTGAGCTGCTACTCGGTGTAGTAACAAGAGAATTCCTCGTTTTTCCTTTTATGTAGATTGTGATAAAAGAGCTGCAGTTAACATACTAGAGTCAGAAGCTAAGGAAAATGCCCTTGTTGCAGGCTTTACGTGGGTGGCATACTCACTGTGTATCCAGTTCTCAGGAATAAATGTCTTCAAATACTTCGTTTAATAATATGGGGTATAAATAAAAAACTAAGGGAGCGTATGTGTGTGTGTGTGTGTTAACTGTCATCTAACTTCGTTTACCTTATAATTGTGAATCTTTGAAGAATTTTTTCCTAAGAAAATCAAGTGAGATTTTCGTGGGCATCCCCTTTCTGGCCTCAGCGTGGCCTGGGCTGGGTGGTGGTGGGTCTCCCACGCCCGGCGCGCTCTCTCTGGGCGCCTGCCACCCAGACAAGGCCCGGGGCTGTTGCCACTGCGGGCTCGGCGCAGCCCGGCCGTCTGTGTTCGAGAGGAGTGGGTGCTGCAGCGTGCGTGGCCCCCCAGGCCCCCTGACTCCGAGTGTGGCTGGGGACGCAGGAGAGGATTTGAGGCCACTCTTGGCTCCCTTTTCTCCATCCGGCAGGTGGTTTGACGTGCTTCAGAAGGTGTCCACCCAGCTGAAGACCAACCTCACGAGCGCCACAAAGAACCGCGCGGATAAGGTGAGCGAGAGGCGCACGTGTCGTGCCAGAAGGGAGGACGGAGCTCGGCACTTCCCAGGTCGGCTGCCTGAAGTGTTCCGTTGAAGACTAACTCACTGAGGGTTTGTTCTTTTCTTTTTCCCGGTAGAATGCTATTCATAATCACATTCGCTTGTTCGAGCCTCTGGTTATTAAAGCTTTGAAACAGTACACAACCACCACATCCGTGCAGCTGCAGAGGCAGGTCCTGGACTTGCTGGCCCAGCTGGTGCAGTTACGGGTCAATTACTGTCTTCTGGACTCGGACCAGGTTTGTCGTTTCTGGCTTCCTCCTGCCCTAGCTGTCGGTAAGTCAATACAGGTAGCCTGTGAGACCCCGCAGTCTGCCCTCAGGAGACGTGCCGCCGCTGCGTCTTCCCCAGCGCGGGCTCTCCGCCCGGGCGGGGCTGGGCTCGGGGTGGCCTATCCTCGAGGGTCAGGGCTTTCTGTCCACTCACCCTCCCCACCCCAAGGTAAGTGCATTTAAATTTTAGATGCAACTAAGCCTTACTGTTGAGGAGGGCATTTTTGCAAAACGCAGGGACTTATTTTGAACAGATTATCAATTATGACATCTGGTTTCAAACAAGCTGACGTCCGGGCATGTCTGTAAAGAAGAACATGGTCTAAGGGAGCAGTAGCTGGTGCTGTGCCCTGAGAGGCCCTCCCGGTGCCCGTCTGACCAGCTCGGTGTTGACACGCCCTGGCCAGGTGGGACTCAGCTGTGGGGAAGCGCTTCTGGAATCCCAGCCCCTCGGCACGGCAGCTGCATTCACCACACATAAAGTCGCCTGTAGGTCATGAAAATATGACTGTCATTGCTGGACCATGACCTTGGGCTTCTTTCCCAAGTGAGGTGGGAAATGTTTCGTAGACATCGGTGTGTCGGTAGATCATGTTGGCACCAACACTCACCTGAAAAGGTCTGTTGCTCAGAGAAATGAGGAAACACCTTCAGGATGCTTATCTCCCCACAAGTAGTATTGGGGTGCCATCTTCTGATGAAGGGGGGCTTGAAGGACCAGGCGTCATGGTGGCTGACATTTGCACTCTTTCTTTTGCCAAATTATCAGAAGAACATCGTCCAAGAGAGCTGCTCCCTTCCTTGGGGCAGATGCTCACTGGAGGACGGTTAGGGACAGCATGCCCTTTCCTCTGACATAGGGATCTTGGGCGGGAGAGGCCTCGTCTGAAGCCTCGGGCGGTGGTGGCCCAGAGGGAGACAGGTGCATGCTGACTGGGGCGTGAGGAATAAGGGCGCCCTGGGGGCTTTTCAGGCAGAAGTCAGGGCCCACCTCGAGGGCCGCTCTGGGGGCACAGAGCCATCGGCTCCACCCAGGGCTGCACCCCACCGTCTCCTCAGCCTCCAGTCGTGACTCCTCCCAGGCAGAGCTCGATGTTCTCCTGCGGAAGGGAGAGGCTGCTCTCTTTCTGGGCTGCCTTCAGTGCGATCGCCATTCTCTCTTCAGTCTTTCTACATAGGCTCTCTTCTCAGAGACGGTGTAATTTTTGTTGCTTCCTTCTGTCTTACTAAAATCTCCACCTGACGCGTGCACATGGAGAGGGGCCGGCCTCAGAGCTCCAGCAAAGCTGCCTCCCAGCCACCTCTTCCGTGGTGCTGCTGGCCTTTCCTTGCCGTGAGTGCTCTAGCCTCACATTTGTTCAGATTTGCTCGTATAGCTCAGGGCCCTTGCTCCCCATCCCTGAGGAGTTCAGTACGATGACTGTAGGAAACGGGAACAGGCGGACCATTTAATTCAGTTCCCGTCATGATCTGTGGAGCACCTGCTCCTTGTCTGTGTCACGCCCGCGGGCTGGGAGCAAACAGCGGTATGTAAGTTCCAGGCTCGAGGTTGGGAGAGCGCAGGTGCTTGGAACAGAATTGGACGCAAACTGGCTCAAAGCCAGGCCTGCGGTGCTGCCTGGGCCCTCAGGGTCCCCTTCCCTGCCCGACAGCAGCCCCCTGCATCAGCCCCTTTGAACGCCGGGGTTTGGGAGGAGGTGGTGGGCTGATGTGGGCATCTTCTTACCAGCCAGTGTCGGGGCATCCGTGCCGCTTGGGGTGTGAGCCGGGGCGAGCTGGCCCCCAGATGTGTCTGCGGACTGCTCGGTGTCTCCTGGAGCGCGCAATCTCTCTTCCCGGATCTCCCACCGACTGTTCAGTAAAGCGTCCTGGATAATCTAGTCTGACAGAATACGTCTGAGTTCTTGTATACACACAAGTTTACTGCCAGGAACTTGTTAAAACTGACACAAGTAAGTAGGGAGAAAAGTAACCTAGTTTGCGCGTTTTAATTACTGATGTGAAAATTTTATTTTCCTGCTTGTAGGTGTTTATTGGATTTGTGCTGAAGCAGTTTGAATACATTGAAGTAGGCCAGTTCAGGTAATGGCATTTTGTTCTTTTAGATTTTTTGTCCTTATTACGCACTGACATGTGATTTTAGATTATTAAGATGAACATTTACTTTAAAGGATTGTTAACACATTTTTGCTAGATATTTTAAGTGGAACTCTGATTAACACACTGTATGTTTTTATTTCTCTTAAAAATGTGTTTCAAGACTTGTTTAGAAATAGTCCTGCATCTGGAATTAGATGTGTCAGTTTTTTGTTTTTTTTTTTTTAAAGATTTTATTTATTTATTTGAGAGAGAGAATGAGAACGAGAGCAGGAACACAAGCAGGGGGAGTGGGAGAGGGAGAAGCAGGCTTCCCGCCGAGCAGGGAGCCCAATGCGGGGCTCGATCCCAGGACACTGGAATCATGACCAGAACCGAAGGCAGACGCTTAACGGCTGAGCCACCCAGGCGCCCCTGTTGAAACCTTCTTGTATGTGCCGCAGATGTACATAAAATTTAAAGAATTTTAAGAAGAATTTTTGAAGATTTTTTCACATAGATCTTGTGTATTTCTTGATAAACAAGTCCCCAGATGGTCATCATTTTTTGTTACTGATAGATATTTCTCAGTTTTTTTGAAAACTATTTATAAACCTTATCTGGCCTCTTTTCTGAAGGATATTGATAATTTTGAAAGATAAGAATCTTAACCATGTTTTTTTTTTGAATCTTAACCATGTTTTACAGCAGATTTGGAGGCTCTTTTTAGCCTGTGTTTCTTATGTCACCCACCCAAATAGCAGGGGGCACATTGGAAACCACGCACAGAGAAGACATTTTTTTCTGCCTATTCTCAACTCCTGTCTCGGGTCCTGGGGCCCTGTTGATGCTCCTGCCATCTGCTCCGTCCTTACCATTTCCCCCCCGGGACATCCTGGGCTTCACGCTGTACCCCGTGCACCGTGGCCCCCCAGGATTCTGGGTGCCCGCCTGGCTGGCGTGTTTGGGGTGCCTGGCACACGTGAGATCCATCACACTGTCTCTCCATCTCCTTCATTCCTCCCCCTGAGTGGCCGTGTGCACGGCCCTCCATTCTAGCTCTGGGGTCAGCTCCCTCCGTGCCCCGTGGCCCTGGTTCTCACCTGTGACCTCTGTTCTTCAAGATAGGCCTTCCTGTGCTCATGCCCCTCGCCCCCTTGTCCTGCCCTGCCTGCTGGAGGTGAGCCCCTTCCCTCCCGTGGCCCCACTCGTCCTTCAGCCTGTTGGAAAGCGCCCCCCCCGGTGACACAGAGCGGCTGAGGCACTCGGGCCTGCCTGGTGGTCATCTTCCGTGTGTGTCTCGCCTGCCGTCCTCTCCCTTGGCCCAGGAAGTGCTTTCTCTTTCATCACGGGTGGCCACGTTTGATTTCACGGAGCAGATTCCTTTCTCTGTTGCAGCGTTTTGCAGGGTTTTTGCCAGTTTTTATTTTCATAGTTGATCTCTCCCTTGTTCTTTCATGTTATGTCTTTGGACCTAACCCCTTCTCTCAGTCCGTTAAATAGGGGAATTGCATAATTTAATTCAGCTGGGCCCTTTAGAATCCTAATTTAATCCTTCTTGACATGAATTTAATGTTTTGCTGTAGCCAGACTGAAAGGCGGTTTCTGGATTTGATGATGATTCCTTGGGGATACTAATGTATGTAGAACAAGTTGTGTATTTTATATTTTTTGATTTGGTGCTTATCAGATGCTGGTTGTAATGGAAATTTACATTTTTTCCCCTCATGATAGAAGCTCAGAAATTATTCCTTTCAGTTGTATCAATGTAAGTTAGAAGATGCTCCTGAGAGATGGCAGTTTTATAAAGCTGTCTTTCCTTTCCAAAGCATTTTCCCAGTGCTCACAGGAAACAAACAGCCCACGCGGTGTGTGTGTAGGGTTGCATAGTGGGACAGCTCTCATCACACAGACAGTGCGTGTCTTTGTTGCAGGTGACGGATGGGACGGTGCACGTAATCCTGTGTTCTTTTCCTCCACCTTCCCAAGGTTACCTTGGATCTTCAGAACAGCACTGAAAAGTTTGGGGGCTTTCTGCGCTCTGCCTTGGATGTCCTCTCTCAGATCCTAGAGCTGGCGACGCTGCAGGACATCGGGAAGGTATGTGTTTCATTCCTTGTCATTGAGCTGTAGCCGGCGCGGGCACCTGTGAGCCTGCAGCCCCACCGTCCAGGCACGTTTTCCGAGGTGCCAGCAGCTTGGGAGACGTCTGCATGTCCCCCGACCCGGGCTGCCCCATCACAGCACCTGACTCTGGTGCTTGTCTTAGCCTCACATCGGGGGTGTTCTACCTCTCTCCTCTTTTCAGTTCTCTTTCTGTATATTAGTTTAGATCCAGTTTATTCTAGAATATGAGTGGGTTTAAACTGTGGTGACAGTCCCTTTGTTTTCTTTTTTCTTTTTTTTAATTTAATTTTTTATTGTTATGTTAATCACCATACATTACATCATTAGTTTTTTGTTTGTTTGTTTTTTGTTTTTTTTTAAAGATTTTATTTATTTATTTGAGAGAGA